GAATGTCTGTGTCAGTGTGTGCGTGTGTGAGTGTGTGTGTGTGTGTGTGTGTGTGACTCACTTTCCCTCTGCGGATGCAGGAGCTGATGCTATCCAGCAGGTCTGGTTTGTTTTTTTCACTCTTAGGCACTTCAGTGTTTTCCTTCAGCAGTTCCCCACGCTGGTATCCCATGATGCACTCGTACGCTGGATTGACGTACTGTGACAGAAGCATGTGGACAAACCAGAGTCACAGTCTCAGTGATCTTCTAGAGCTGGTATCTGAGATTACTGAGTCTGATTTGACTTGTTCTTCAACCTCAATGAAGAGACACGTGTGTGTGTGTACGCGTGAGTGAGTGTGTGTGTGTGTGTGTGTGTGTGTGTGTACCTGTATGTTCTGATCTTCACTGCTGATGTCAATGGCATTGTACTTTTTCACTCCCTCTCTGTTCCTCCGTCTCGCTCTTTCCAACTCGCTTTCTACCGCTCCTGTGGTGAGATCAGTTTGCGCTGTGAAGCTCAGATCAGAGATTACAGTCAGTGGAACTCGGAACTCAGTGGCTGTGATTAATGTGGAGGGACAAAGTATTTGATTAAAAGCTGAGCTGACACAAACTTACTCACACACACACACACACACACACACACACACACAGCGTATCATCAGAGAGACTGTCCATATGATGAAGACAAAAAGACAAAAGCAAACACTTGCAAGTGTCCTGAAGAGACGAGCGTCTCACCTGAGTTTGATCTGAGCTCGTATTTCTCCGTGATGGAGCTGGATGAGTTCGTTATAACAGGCCATCATGTTGGAGTTCTCCACATATCGCTGTGACGACAAACACACAAACACCCTCGATTCATAATGATCTTGAATGAAGCGCAGACACACTAGAGCGTCATTAAAGTTTTTGACTTCTTTTTGACAATTGTTCCTTTCTCTTTGGAGTGTTACAAGCTCTTGGTGCATAAAGAAGATCTGTAAAGTTGCAAAGACTAAAGTCTCAAATCCAAAGAGATATTCTTTATAAAAGCGTCAACCACGCCTACCTAAAACGGCTCGTTC